TGGAGTTATTAGGCTTTATATTATATTTATTTATTTATTTTTTAAATCATATCTATTTTTATTTCCATTTTTTGCAATTGTTTATTATTATAGTTCTTTTGTTTGACTTTTGATTATTTTTATCATTCGGAATTTAATTTTTGATTATTTTCATAGTTTTTTATTTATTTATTATTATTATCTCATCGTTAGTTCGTCAATTGCTGTTTGCACTATAGATTTAATCATGTGACATCATCATTCATAATATCATTTTGCGTGATGAATTGTTGGCGCATGATATACACACACATACACACACACACACAGCCACACAAATATGTAAACATATGCATGTGTGTGTGTATGTGTGCCGGCATCGATATCCGCTTGCCGCCAGAAGGAAGTGCACACAGACAGTTCCTGGCCGCCATTATTTTGCATGCGAACGGCGGGCACGCCTGCGTGGCATTTGACCAGCAAATGTGGGATGATGATGTCATCAGCTTTGCTCTCTTAGCTTGACTTGTTGATTTATCGACAGCCGGTAATTTATATGTGCGCATACACACATACACACATGCATGCATGCATGCTCGCGTATTTGTGTTAGATAAACTCAAGTAATTGTGTTTCTCCGCATGTGTGCGTGTGCGTGTGTGTGTGTGTTTGCTCAGTGCAATACAACTCCATTTACAGCGTACATTGCTTACAAGGTTGCCGGCCAGCTGCTGCCTAAAATAGAAATCTTGTAATAGTCGCCAGTCGGCCAAATGTACATAGCTAAATAATTGAATTGGCTGCGATTACCTGTGCGCAGCTAAACGCTCGTAATCAGCTGATTTAGCACTTACGCGCATCAATTACTCTTGGCAATTATGTTAATAGTTTTAAATAAGAACTAATTAACATGTATTCAAAAAAAAATATCGTTAAAAGCTTAATAGCTTCACACACACACGCACATACACACACAATCAATCATTTTAAAATTTATCATACATAAAAATAACTACATGTATGTACATATGTACATATAAATATTTATAGCTATTTACACACACACACACATTGTAGGCTTATGCGTGTGTGTAGCTAAAGAAGCCGCGCCCACGCCGCCCCCTATTAAGCACTGATGCGTGCGTCGCTATGAAGGTGGAATGGAAGGGGAGCGTCGTCACGGGTGCGTCGTCACTCAAAGCATTTAACGCTTGGCGCTTTAACGGTTTATTTTATATTGTGGCAGAAATATTGTATATGTGCCTTGTCGCATTATTAGCAGCCGGTGAACGCCCAGCAATGTTATTAACTGTTTGCTGATATTTACTGATACGAGCGCCTGCATGTGCATGTCTCTATACCTATGTACATACATACATACATACATATGCATGTGTGTGCACACATTTGTCACACATAAAATTCCCAAATGACCTGATTACTTTCTCACTTGCACTTGCAGCCACACATACATACAAATGTATGTATGTGTGTGACTGCGTGCGTGTGTGTGTGTATGCAAGGGTGTACACACTCGTGTGAATGCGGTTGAAAAGTAATTACATTGCTGTATGAATTGCAAAATAAATTGTACAACACGCTCATTTGGGGTTACAGCAAAGGTCAAGTTGATGTGTTTGCCGCTGCCATTCGCTCGCTCTTCATCATTTCACCATTGCATGCAGCTCAAAAAAGATTGTAAAATTGCATTTGCCGATCGAAAATAGAAATGATGAACGTAAAATATGCCAGAAGCGACCGCGTCGGCAAATGTCAAGTGGCATAAAACCAGCAATCTCATAACCGAAAAAGAAAATATAATAAATGCGCCTGCCCAAAAAGCAACAAACGATGATCAGCAATAAAAACGTTATTTTTTTTTTTTTTTTTTTTTAAATACATTTCATTTAACTTGCAAAAAAAAATACAACTGCGGTTTACGGAAAAGAAGCAACAACGACAGCCGTCGCAAAAATTTAAATGGCATCATTCACACACAAGCGAGACAAATCTATAGTTTGTGTGTGTGTGTGTGTGTGTGTGGTTTCCATCTCTTTCTCGCTCTACCTTCTCACTGTAGTTAGAGAACATCTACGAATCATCTTCGATTCTTGTTTCGTTAAATTTGTTATTGTAAAAGGGCCAACGTAATTCATCAGAAATAAAAGTGAGATAAGATAAAAAAAAAAAAAACATAAATTGTCAGCACGGTTAGAGCGAGTAGCAACAACAACAATCATAAATAAATATGGAAAGCTCTCATAAATACTAACGCACGACATGCCTGAATCTGTATGTTTGTATTTGTGCAGTCTGTGCGTGTTCTTCGTTTGAGAGAGTGCGTTATTTTTGGAACCGGTTCGCGTTGACAGCTGCAGCGCGCAATATTTTATTGTCATAAGCAATCTGCCTAAATGAGAGTGAGAGGGAAAGAGATGTCAACCTTGGGTTTGGGAGCTTTCTTGTTCTTGCTTCTCCCTATCCAAATTGCCGCATATTTCAACACTTACACACATACATATCTTATCAGGGTAGCGGCGGAAGCATTCGCCCCAATAGAAACTGCACGAGCAACGGCTTCGAGTTGATGAAGTAATAGCCAAAAACACAAAATAAAATAATAATAAAAATTATAATCATTTGTGAGTGAAGGCAAGGAACGTGAGCTTCAAGAGTGCTCGCTGGCTCGTATCTTGGCCTAAATTGGTAAATGGCTAATGGGTTTTTTCTTCCATTCTTTGTTGTTGTTGTTGTACTGCTCGCGACGCGTCTTCATGTTCATGTCTTACTATTATTATTTTTATTTATGGCGTGCTGAGACGCTTGTCAATTTCATTTTGCGAACTTTGTGACTTAATTGCTATTTTAGTAAACATTGAAGATAAAGTACAACGATGTTAAGTAATTTCTAAAATAAATTATTTTTCCATTGCGAAATGTATGTAAAAAGGAACACAGGCAAAAGACAAGCAACATTAAATGTGAGCATTGCGCGAGTTTTCTTTTTTATTTTTCTGAATTTGTCAATGAAATGCATCTGCACACACGCCACCTACAAAGCAAACAACAACAACAATGGCAATGGCAAGACAAGCCTCTCTTGCGTGCTTTGTTAAATGTCATGCAGCAGCGCTTTAGAGATGGACGCGTGAGTGGATAGTGAGCGCACATAATGCATAATGCATTGCAAGGGAATATGCTTGCTTGCTGTGCGCCTCCATGCTCACATGTCAAGCCGATAAAGCACAAACATACATACATACTTATGTGTATATATTCACAGTATGTGTGGTATAACAATTAACTATCGGAGCAAAAAGCTAACACCTTAAGACTGCATGGAATTTCCACACATATCGATACATTTTCGATGCCAAACAAAAAGGCATTGAATTTTGCTTTTTTCTTTCTTTTTTTTTTGGTAAGTCTGCATCAAAGCGAACAACAATAAGCGCAATTGTTGCCGTTGAGATATAATAATAAATACATGGAGTCTGTACGTGTTGTATGGAGTGTGTTTGTGTGGGCGATGACTGTGGCTGGGCCTTTGGCTTTGGCCAAGGAGGCGGAAAACTGCACACGAGAAAAACCTGTTTAGCGTTCAATGGTTGTATTTTGTTGGTTTGTTGTTGGACCTCGGACAGCCGAACACACATATGTTTTGTTTGCTGCACGCGACAAGCAGCGCGCAGAGCCAGTTGTTGGGGAAGAGTGAATGCCGCTACTACTGCTGCTGCTGTTGCTGCTGCTTTCTTCATCTATGCAACATAACAACGGCAACAACCAGGCGCAATGTATTTGGGCGCAAACCAAATTGAACTTTCACTTTTTGCTTAAACGCTTTATTTGTACATTTACGTTTATTGTTGTTTTTCCTTTGATTACAAATGGCATGTACATGTTGCTCTCTCTATCTATGTATGTATGTACGTGTGTGTGTTATGTCAAAGACGCTTCTGCTTCATTGAGAGAGTGCACTGAGTTCAACAGGTGCGCTCGCTCAGGCAGCCATCTTTCACTTTCTCTCTCAATCTAACAGGAAGTAGCTAAGGGGGTGGTGGTGGTGGTAGGTGTAGTAGATATTGGCAAACCCTATGCCCTGCAGTTGGAGTTGCATTAGTCATCGTTCGTCTGCGCATTGTTTGTCGAAGGTGCGGCAAATGTCGCATACAAGACGTGGGCGTTTGAGGAGTGCTGCCAGAGCCCGGCTCACATGAGGCCCTAAATAATGGCTGCTTAACTAATAAAATCAACAATGACTGTGTGCAAAGACAATTACGTTGGCAAACAACAAAACGTTCGAGTTGAAGTGTTGATTTCGTCTTCGTTTTTGCATGACGTAGGCGCCAAGAAATTTCAAAGCCACAGTCACATTGGAGCACACTCACGCACTCACACACACAGATAGGCACAAGCAATAAGAACGTGTGCGATGTCAGGCAATTGAAGTAATGAAATGCGATTAAAGTTTATGTCAGATAAGAACTTATTAATTAAAACGCAAAGCAAATGCAAGAATATTTAGCAAAGCTACTGCTACTACGAATGCAAATTGAAGCATGCACACATACATAGATATATGTGCATATGTATATGTGTGTGTTGTGCTTAGCTGGCCGAGAACTTAAAGAAGAGCGAAGGAGCGAGAGACAGAGACGGAGACGGAGGGGGCGAGCGAGAGTTGAAACCAGTTTTTGCGATGCTTAGCTTAATAACAAAAACAAGAAGAACAAACAGACCAGCAGACAGATAGACGGACAGACAATACAAAAGGGGGCGGCAGAGTACAATGATGATGATGAATAAATAAAAGACCAAAAACGAGCATAATGAATACATTTGTATATATGAAAGTATGTATATATGTATGTACATATGCATATGTATTTCAAGTGACACTGAAGCAGAGAAGAAGCACAAGGTGTCTGTGCTGATTCTGTTATTTGCAACACAATAACAACATAATTTTCACTTTTTTGATGCACTGAAAATTTGCAAAGCGCGCATATTGAAATCTACGAAATACAAGCATATATACATATACACATACATATGTATAAATATGTGTATGCATGTGTACATGTCTGTTATTGCATGTGGTTGGCTAAGTAACCCACCTTAATGATCAATTCGATCTCGGGCACATCATATTTGCTGGTGCCGTTCGTCGTCTCCTGCTGCGGCTGTGTCTCAACTTCGGCGGCTGACATGGTTTTTTTTTTTTTTTTTTTTGTAAAGCTTTAGCTTTCTTGTTAACAACTTAGAAATTTACGCTCTTACTGCGGTGTCTTCTTTTCAATTCTTTTTTTTTTTTTGTTTCCGTGCGTTATCGTCGTCGTCGTCCGCGTGACGTGCGTACGTGTTTTTCTTATGCTCTTTATTGTTGTTCTAATTTATATTTGCCAATATGTATGCACACACGAGCACAAAACACTAATTCAAAATTCACTGTACCTAAGTACGCCAGTATATATGTATGTGTGTGTCGATTGTGTTTGTGTGTATTAAAAAAATTACGTTTGCTTCCCGTTGCAAGCGATTGCGGTGTGCTGCCTGTTTGCTATAGTTACAGTATGAAATAGTGTTGGATTGTTCATATGATACGCTGGGACGTTGACATCGTTGCAATATATCGATATACAGCTGAACGCAGAGTTGAAAAGTGCTATCGATAGCTAGCCATGCCTCTGGTCTCACTGAGATTTGTTCGTTTTGTCATGCCGGCTATCGTGCTGCCGCATTGAATTTATTTATTTGGTGTGCACAAGTCGGCTTCTATTTCCATTATTAAAAAAAAAAAAAAAAACTAAATATAAAGTTGAATTATGGCGCTAAATTTGAACGAGCTGCTGCAGCAGGCACAGCGCCTCTCCAATGAAACCCAAATAGACACAGAAATGCCGCGCGTCGATCGTACGCTCTCGCAGGTTCTACAAGCCACACAGGAGCTGCATGAGCGCGTCACACAAGCCGGCACAAACGATTTGCAAGCGTAAGTTAACAATTGCCTTTGTATATTATAATGATGTATATTTATGTATGCCGTGCCTTGTCTCCTGCAGTCACATTCTGCTTGGCTCTAGGGGCGTCGATCTGCCAAAACTGACACAGAAACTCGAGACCTTGAGCGCCAGTCAATCCTTCGAGCCCATCAACCCCATTGGCGATACCGATGTGGAGGGCTACCTGAAGAACGAGCGCGAGAATGCTATAATTGCCGTGATTGAGGAGACCAATAAAAATGTAAGTGTGTATGCTCTTTTATCTTCTCGAATTCCTTTGATAGTATATATTCCCCAATAGATATTCAAATCGGTGGAGCGCAACAAAATGCGCTGCATACTTGCCGAATGGGGCGAGGAGAAGGAGCATCTGCTTAATGCCCTGGTCGGGCCCAATCAGGAAGACTTTCCCGAGGTGCACCGCCACATGGTGTCCACCGTACTGCCACAGACAGCCATGCCGCGCTCTCGCCTGAATCGCGTGGAGGCCTTGTATGCCCAGCAGATCACCATCTACAATGAGGTCCACAATCAGGGCAGCCAACGCACCAATTTGCTCAACCAGTTCACCCAAATGGTGAAGGAGCAGGAGACTGTCATGGATGTTCAGATTAGCGAAATGTGGAGCGTGCTGACCTACATGGCCAATGTGACGCCCCTCAGTCGCAGCGTTGAGCCGGCCAAGTTGCGCCAGAACGGCCTACCATTGGTGCAGAAGGCCCTGAGCTATCTGGAGCAGTGCTACAAGCGGTACATGAATACGGTCATCCAGAAGAATCGTCTGATTGGCCTACGCGGCGGCGTACCCAATGTCTACAATACGGTATGCTCCTATGTGACCATCGCCTTCCAGTCGCCTCATTCCTTGGTCGGGCTGCTCGACGTCAGCGATGGGCGTCCCTTGTGGCCGCATGTCTACTACAGCTTGCGCAGCGGTGATCTCGGCGCCGCCGTGCAGTTCCTCAAGGAGGGCGGCGTTTGCCCCGATTTGATGAAGCTGCTGCAGGCCAAGCATAAGCTCAAACAGAAGCAGGACCATCTGCATCCGCTGAACGAAACTGAGCGTCCCACTGTCAAGCTCGAGGGGCAGCTCAAGCTCGAGTACTGCAACAAGCTGCGCATCTGCACAGATCCCTTCAAGAAGGCGGTACGCTATACCAATATATATATATATACATCTATATATAACTCTGTGGAAATTCTAATTCTTTGCCGATTTGCAGGTCTATGCCATCGTCTTGGCCTGCGATCCGAACGAGCCGCACCAGGAGGTGGTGCGCACCATTGACGACTTCCTTTGGATGCAGCTGAGCGTACTGGACACCGCCGAGCGCATCGACTACGACTTGGAGCGCCTTAGCTACGGCGACCTGCAGTCGCTCATCTTGGAGAAGTATGGCGAGCACTATTTCAATGCACGCGAGAAGACGCCGCTCTACTTCCAGGTGCTCGTCCTCACTGGCCAGTTCGAGGCAGCGCTTGAGTTTCTCGCCCGCACCGATGCCAATCGTCCGCATGCCGTGCACATGGCCATCGCCCTCAACGAGCAGTATATGCTCGCAACGCCGAACGACATACAGAAGCCGCTGCTCTCCACCGACCCAACCGATCCGCCGCCCATGCGTCGCCTCAATCTGGCGCGCCTGATCATCATGTACACGAAGTGCTTCGAGCAGACCGACACCGTCGAGGCACTGCAATACTATTACTTGTTGCGCAACTTCAAGACCTCCGATGGACGCAACCTGATGATGAGCTGCGTCTGCGATATGCTCGTCGAGAACTGCGACGAGAATATGTTGCTCTTGATTTTTGGCTCGCCCGATCCCTCTGATCCGTGGCGCTACGTTGGGTAAGCAGTTGATGATAGCATTCCTTATAGCTTTGACTCAATGTTACCCATTCCCCACTGCAGCGGCATCTTGTCCCAATTCTCCAACTTGGATTACGACAAGTACATCCTGGCCGGCATGGTGGGCGACGAGCTGGCGCATCGCACCAAATTCGAGGCGGCCATCCGTCTCTACTTCATTGGCGGCCAGCTGGACAAGGCCTTGCGGCTGCTCTGCTCGCTGCTCACGCAGGTGGTGCACCAGCCGGCGGAGAAGGGCAGCGTCCGCGAGCAGCTGACGGTGATGTCGGAGCGCATGAATGAGTCGCTGAGCCGGCGCATAGCCGACATCGACGAGCCTGTGATGCGCACCTATCGCATGCTGGCGGAGCTCATCAAGTTCTTCGACTATTACCATTCGGGTCAATCGCGTTTGGCCGATGAGGTCCTCAACAGGAATCGCATTACGCCCAACAGCTGTGCCGAGGTGGACGAGTGTGTCAACAAGCTGAAGCTGGTTGGAACCGACATGATCAAAGTGCTGCCCGATGTGCTGCTGGCCGCCATGGATCTGATCTACGGTCAGTATCTGGAGATGAAGGCCGGCGCCAACATAAGTAGCCGCAGCATCAGCTCCAACGACGAGCTGCTGAGTGAGCCCAAGGAGGAGATTCTCTCACATTTGCGCCAACGCGCCAAGGCACTCACCAACATGGCTGCCACGCTGCCCTATCGCATGCCCTCGGACACCAACAATCGCCTCGTCCAGCTGGAGATCCTGATGCACTGAAGCAGCTGCCAAACAACACATAGAAAAGAAAGGGGGTACGGGAAAGGGGGCATAACCGAGCGGGAGGGAAAAGAAGAAATGCAATCACTATCAAGATCAGAAACGGGATAGCTAACTGATTCAATAATGTTCGTTTGTATTTATGAAATTTAGTTTTGTTTATTAAATCGGTTATTGCAAAAATGGAAATGCGCGTTGTTTATTTACTGTA